AAAAGAGTTTTTATACATTTACTTGCTACGTCAAGAAAACTTGTCATTTAGCACACACCATTTTTGATTAAAAGGAACCAAAGATTTTAATTATCCTGGGCTTTGAGGAAAACCCTTAATTCCGAGGAAGATGTGGGAAAGCCAGATGGTGTACTAATTAACATAAAAAATACCTTATAGATGCAACAATACTCTTGTTATTGATGGAATTGATTATGAACAAATTATAGTCTACCCAGGTAAGTAGTGTGGTATCTAACTCATAAAGATGTTCATTTATGTTTCAACTAATGTCTTTATATAATAAACATCACTGTCTTTCAAAGACACGCACATATTGGTAGATACATAATCACAATATTAGGTAAATGGCTCACGTTGAGATATCATAAGTAGATACTTGTATATGGGCATTTTATCATCTTAATTTTTATATATGGTTTAAAACCAACTACTCTTTAATTGCATGGTATCTTATTTTAATTAGATTTGATAACAATTTTATTAAATTGTTAAAATGCTAGGTTAAATAGCAAACAAATGCAGTATCCATCGACCACGTGAATTTTGAATCTTTGCCAAACAATTTAATGTTATTTTTTCTATTGTTCAATTGTGAAATTACAAAAATTATAACGATTATCATACAATGCACGATCCATGCTAGTATAAAGAAAAAGGCATTATACAAAAGTAGGTTGTCCAATTACGTACACTCAAATATCGAGAGTTATTTAATACCTGATCCCAACAAGACAAATTTCCACAGAAGTCCACGGGCATAAGAAGCCCAGTTAAATATCAATTAAGCCCTCAGAATCCAAGTCCAAAATCCCACGTAGCCAGCCCAAGTAAAAACAATGCCAATAATAAGCAATAACAAAAATTCAGAGAGAGAGAGAGAGAGAGAGAGAGAGACAGAGAGAGAGAATTATAAAAAAAAATTCTATTTGCTTCTGAAAAATGTTTACAAAGATTATCTCTTGACACCATTTTCAAGATTGAGTAATCACCTGAATTTCCAATCTTGATTAGTGATTAACTAGTTCAAAATCACTGTTTACATTTTTGTTACGAGGTCGATAGAAGATTTAAAGAAAATAAGTGAATAACGGATAAAATAGCTCACTACCCAATAGAAACATCCATGGAATTTGGGGCTCGGAAATCTCTCTTCCTCTTTGTTTTGTACATTTCATATATTTGGGTGCATTTAAGTACTCTACACAGCAAAATCTACTAGCAAAAGCTTCAGTAGCTTTAATGGTAACCTCCAGTGTTAAATTGTACTTTTGCTAAATGTCCTTGCATTCCATCTCTTGCATATTGCTGCCATGCTATCTGCTCTTCTACTAACAATCTCTGCTTCTTCTCCATCTCAGACATTTGCACATATGGTGGTGGCGCTATGGCAAGTGAGGCGGCAAAAGGGTCGTTATTCGTGGATGTCTGGGTGGCACCACCATGGGCCGATGGTGGTGCTGGTAGTGCCAGCATGGATGGCCTCCCTGCTGATCCTAGTGCAACACTACTTGCACTTCCAGTGGTTATAAGTCCTGAAGAAGCTGCTGCTTGTGCTGTTTCTCCTTGTTTATACATACCATCAAGCATTAATGTATCGAAACCTCCCGGCAGGGTTGGATTCTGATTAGACAGGTGGCTGGCAGATTGAACCAGGGCTGTTTCCCAATTATCACCAGATTCTTTAAAGGCTTCCCATGGGGGAATTGTACTTGTTGGAGCTGCAGATGTGGAGAGATTGCCGTCAAATAAAGCTAAAGCCAATTCGTTTTCTTGTTTCTCTGTGGTAGCTCCTGTATCTTCACCTAAGTTCAACAAATCACCTACTTCTTGAGTTTTTAGTACTTCATTTTTCGGCTCCTCCACTTCCTCTTTCTTTTCCTCTTCTTCAGTCTCTTCAGGAAATCCTTCTGGTGGTGGCAATGCTTTGATTGCATTCATGTCTTCTTCTTCTTTTTGTTCTGGCTCCTTTTTTTCTTCAACAGGTTCGGGTTTCGCCTCAATAGCCCTACTCTTTTGAGACATCATAGACTTTTCTCTGATAAACTCATCCATGACATCGAGTTTCTTTTGTGCGATTTTCTCGACATCTGGATATTCAGAAGAGCGTGCTATTCCCACCGTCTTACACCAACCATAGAATGAGTCGAGCTCATCGTACTGCTTTGAAACACGACAGAAGATTTCAAAAACTTTTACAGAATCTGAAATATCAAGCTCCATGAAACGATCAATCAAGATCCCCAATATTTCTGTTATGTCATAATAAAGATTGAAACTCTGTTTAACTATAGGATAGAGAGCTATGGTGACAACCCTGTTATGTTTTGCATAACCTGCATTTTCAAGTTCAATAAGAATAGGGCATTTGATGAAATAAAGACTAAATTTAGATAAATATATTTTACAAACCTGTTGGCCTGCATGCTAAGAACCTCTCAAGAAGTTGTATAAGACGATGAATCGTAGAGAAAACTCGTTCATTAGTCATTTCCCTCAAAGGAGTGCCCCTTACAACAATGGCTTTGGACCCAACTTCCGGATCTTCATCCTCTTCATGATGTGCATGTGCACTATGTTTCCCCCTGCGCCCTTGCATTCCAAATTCAAGCTGTTCATCCAAATACAATGCGTAAGTCCTCACAAATGCCGAATAATCCCACGAATTCGATTTCGACGTATCACGAAAATCAGACATGTTGAGGAGGCGAGTGCCACGTCTGGTGGCGAAGAAAATCTCTTTTTCATACGCGGGATCGCCCTCGGCCAGCAGCCTCTGAACCAGCATCAGTGATTTCAAAGCTACCACCCAGTTTTTGGTTTTGTTGAGGCGCCTGGATATGGTGCTAACGCAGGACGCAACGTGCGCACGCGAGTAGCACGTTAGGCTAAGAATTTCGCGGATATGCCTCTCCTCGGCCGGGTACTCTTCGTGCCTGGTGGCCTTCACAATGGCCACATCGAGGTCGGATAAGGAGGCGCTGCTGCCAACCTTGGCTAGGCTAATGCTCGTCTGATCCTTCACGGCCCCAATGGCCTTCCTAAGCTTGCTCGGAGCCATAAAGTTTAATACGATGAGAATAAATTGTCAACCTGAAACGATTATAAATTAAAATTAATCAATTTTTTCAATAAATACAGAAGAAATCAATACTCTTCTACATTCATCCATGCATTCTGAGTCTATATTTAATTCATGTGAGGTCGTTGGAAATAAGAATCAATAGGTGCACCTGGACGTCCTAACTATATTGAAAACTTTGAGAATGGCTTGGAAATTACGTATATAAAATTTGTGTTGGCCTAATTGATGAAACTAAGAATGTATATTATGGTATTTGCAGGAAGAGAATAACAAGAACGGAAAATGATAGGAAAATAGAGAAGAAAAACAAATATTCTCTCCTCCAATTCCTCTCTCACACTTTGTTTGTTAGTCCCAATTTTCTTTTAATTTCCTACTATGAAAAGTTGTCCTTTACTTTAGCAAGAAACGCGGGTAACCGATGGAAGTCAATGGTAGGTATCAATAATAAAATTTGTACATGTAGAATTATAGCTAAATGTTACGCCAGTCCCGGAGATGCAGGCAAAAGTTTTGATAAATAAATTTTAATAAAAGTTGATAGAAATTGTGGGTTTCATAAAGGATGAGCCGCATTCTTGACGGACCCCACCTGCCCTTTTACCTGGGCCATGGTGAAGGGGGTAAATTGCAAGTTATGCCTCCAAAGATACAGGATGGAAGGCTACTTGTACACTTGCACATACCCAATGGCCAAATCCATATTTCAAGATTCAAACCCTCGACGCGACAACCTCAAGCAAAGCTAGAGTTTTTCGACCTTCCTCTTTTACTACTTGGAGATGTGCCATGGGGGCTTCATAAAATTGAAGTTTGATTTGTTGAAAGGTTAATAAAATATTAGCAAAATTTTATTAGCAAGTACGTGATAAAATATGTGATGACGAATTGTATTGAACATAAATTAGAGATGTGGGATTGAGTCGAAAGTGCTCTCGAGATAGGGTTTGAACAAGATCGATCGGCAAGCTTCGGAGTTCACGCTACAAGCTTCAACAATTCAACTTCACATTTATGTAATTTTATTCTAAAATGCGGTGATGTATTCTAAATTTGCTATGTGATTTACAATTCGATCATGGATTAAACGTTTTAATTGGACGTACTATGTAGCCGAGTTTCGAAGATCAATTTTCATTTTCACATTTTGACTCGGAAGTATGTTTTTACTTTTTATATTGTATTAATTTCTTTATTATTGTCAATGCTTTCAATTATCTAAAACCAATAGTTGAATGGTTTTTGTGATCGCATGAGAATTTTCTAATTATTAATGCGCTTTCATAACAATATCGTGAATTCGTTTGAAAAATGTAGTTTCGATTTTGTTCGAGAATGACTTTCAAATTAGTTAGGAAAATTCAGACAGTTGCATGAATATATGTGACCGAAAAGACATGTCTATATGACACGCACTGCTGAACAATAATATTTCCCAAAAACACAGATTTATTTACTTTTTATCTTCAATCTTGTCTAACAATGTCCAAAATGTCGGCCAATCGAACATGCCACGAGACCAGACCATTGTCACAATTTATCAATTAAATGCTGAACATAAACGCCTGATTTCTCCTTCCGAGCCTTTCAATACACCAATCTTGCCCATTTTCACCATAGCCTTTGCAAAATCTGCCTCAAATGATGGTCCTGCAAAGGAACCAAAGAGCCCGAAATAGGAGTCCACGACCTTTTTTGTTGCAGCATCTTCGTAAAGCCTGGCATCAGTTTGTAGCACAGCAAATCCACTTCTAATGTTCTGTAGAATTCGATTGTCAAAGGTTTGGCCGCTACCCCGGTCCATAGGTAATCGAGAATTAATATCGCCACCTTGAGGACACGTCGCTTTTAGCTCCGGTAGGAACTCAGGATTTATCGAGGGGTCGGAGCCACCACCCTCGAAGAATTCATAAAGCCGTTTGGTCATGAAGAAGCATGCTGTTGTCCCAATTGTATGTGCAGCTGAGAATCATATATAGTAGTTAACACATTGTAACAATTAGCATTAAAAAAAATATTAAAGGCTGCATTTTATTGCCAATATTTTTAATAGAAAATGTGTTTTTTCCACCTAATTTCCTACTTTTGTACTGTTTGATTGACAATTTTGTGCACAGAAAATATTTTCCTACTTTTGGTCGTATGACCATATTTTTCTTGAAAACAAAAAAAATATTTTCGTTAGAGAGTGGTGGTTTTCATCTTGAGAAATGCTATTCATCCCCAGTGGAGATGCATCCCCAGTCTATGTGGCGTTAATGTGGTATTAAATGATAGATGGAATTAAATAAATCATTTAATTTCACCTATCATTTAACCAATCATTTACATTCACATAGACTGTGGATGCATCCCCACTGGGGGTGAATAACATTTTTCTTTTATCTTTCAAGTCTCTCTCTCTCTCTCTCCCATCTACCCACCAATAAAAACGGACAAGTATAATATTTTTTAGATTGAAAACTAAATCAGTCAAACGTATTTAATTATGCAAATTCCATACTCGCAATCAATACCCAAAATTCATATTACGTATATACACACTATAATTGAAGGCTAATTGTTATAATTATCTCAATAAATGTACTGAAATGGTCCACACGTAATTATAAATTATATGAGTAAGCATTAAATGATAGATTACTTAAATGCAATGTTAACATTATTCTTTATACATATATATATATATAGACTAGCAGTATCATTATCATAAACATTCAAATTAAAATCTCATTTTAATAATTTTAGGACCAATTCTAGTTTTTCCATTTGAACCGAAAGGTTAAATTTCGACGACATTAGTTTATAGTCTTACGGTTCAATCATACATTTTATAAATTTACAATTTTTATTAATTTTTTAAACTACATATTTAACTATTTTTTATTAAAATTTACTGAAAATCTAATTTTTATCAAGGGTCACGGTGGCTGAAAAGTGAAAAACAGAAAACTTGCTCATATCCCTTGAAATGTCTACCGACTGAGACAAACACAAAATCTGCATGTTTATTCGTGCATGTTTGATGTTTCTTCATGTGTTGTGTACGTGTCAGAGTGAGGGAGAGGGAGAGACTCGGATATATATATATACACACACACACGTATAGAGAGAGAGAGAGAGAGAGTGCGTGTACAGCTGAGAAGCACAAGTTCCTTCCCGGATAGTCCTTTCTGTAAAAACTTGGCTTTGAGTGTGTCAATGGAGTCTGTAACATCAGGCATATCAGCTGCCAAGGAGACATTTGAAACCAGTCCATCTCTTCTGCCGGTAGGAACCTCGTACATCGGCCCATTNTCTCACTCCCCATGTCTCCATCTCCTTCAGTCTCTGTGTGCGAGAGAGAGAGAGAGAGAGAGAGAGAGAGAGAGAGAGAGAGAGAGAGAAGTAGAGAGAGAATGTATGTGTACAGCTGAGAAGCACGAGTTCCTTCCCCGATAGTCCTTTCTGTAAAAACTTGGCCTTGAGTGTGTCAATGGAGTCTGTAACATCAGGCATATCAGCTGCCAAAGAGACATTTGAAACCAGTCCATCTCTTCTGCCGGTAGGAACCTCGTACATCGGCCCATTTGCCTGAATCATTAATGATTATATATTAATATAATTTCAGAAAAAACACACACACAGCCAAAAAAAAAAAAAGGGAAATTGTATTGATTACCAAAACCACTGCGTCTCTAGCAGCCAAGGCAATTATGTCTGCACAAGAAACAATTCCTGGACACGCCGCTTCCAATTCAGTCTTTGCCCTTGCTATAATGTCAGCCCCTCCCACTCCTTCATGCCCAAATGCACGGTGCTCGTCAGTATCGAGACCAGTGTCTATCAGTATTGACCCATCACACCCCTGAAAAGAAAAAAAGAAACCCGTAAATATCGAAAAAGACTAATTGCATGCAGAATTTAAGTGAGACTGTGAGAGAGATACGTGAACAAAGCAGTCATGGAAGTGGAGTCTAAGCAAGATGGGCGGAGCCCTTGGTTCGGAGGCGGCGGCTTCACTGACGACGCGGCGGACAATGGACTCGGCGTTGGGGCAGGTGTTGGCATAGAAGCCAACTCGGAGGCTTTGTGAAGCCTCAATTAAGCAACTCAAAATCAGTATCAGAAGAGGTACCATTTTCTGAATTCTCTAAGTAATCCTAGATTATTATAAATTAGTGTGTATCTTGCTCTTATAATCTGTGAGGGAGAAGATGAATACACGAAAGAACTTGAGAAAAACGATATATATATAAATGTACTTTTGGGAGATTTTGTTTGTTTACGTGTGGGGTAGGGTGGCGTGGGGTGGGGTCCAGCCTAGAAATATTCGTCCTTTTACAATAAAAATAATGTTGAAATGTCAAGATTTTATTTATATTTTCATACATAATATTTTTTTACGTCGAATTTATTAAATAAATCATTTAATTTCACATTTCATTCAACGTATTATTTAAAGACACCTAGATTAGGGTTGTAACCTCGGTGACTAAATAGCATTACTCTAAATGGAGTAATCCTATGTAACCTCACTGGAGTTACAACTACAGTTTAGGTGGCGTTAATGTGACATTAATGATATGTGAAATTAAACACCTTTCATTTAACATATTATTTAAAATCACCTAAACTGAGATTTTAATCTCAATAGGGCTAAATAACATTACTCTAATAAATGGTAACCTATTATCCGCCCCCCCCCCCAAATCTCCCTCATATAAATTGAATTGTCTAATTCAATTATTTCATATAGATCGTCACATCATCGATGATGATAACCCACACCCCATGTAAGTGTATAGACACCACTATGAATCAATCTTTATGTAGACCCCATAAAATTATTCTTGCTAGTGGTATTGCACTTTAACTAGCAGCATTAAATGGAAGAATCACAACGGGTCTTTCTTCTATCTATTAATTGCAATTAGAATTACACACGTCTCTTACATTATCTCAACATTCTATTAAATTTATCTAAATTAGTTTATTTTTTTCGTTTTCTTGAAAACAATGGTTGACTTGTTTTGTAAGACAAGTTGTATAACATTATAATGTTATCGCTATACTGCTATCATTATCTTTACACTATACTGCTATCATTATCTTTACATTCTATGAAGTTTATCAAGATTGATTTATATTTTCATTTTCTTGAAATTACAACACGTTTGGTAAGATGAGAAGTATAACACTGTACTCTTTTTAAAGAGAAAAAGAAGATAGAAAAATCTTGACTGTTGAGCCATTAGATCCTACCCTAAAACGACAAAAATTGCAACCAAGTTGTTAGAGGTGTCGCTCTTCAACGATCGCATTAAAAAAAAAAGACAAAACCTTGACTATTGTACAACGATTGTGTTACATGTACATCACAAATTACAAATTTGTTTACCAAGCGCCCCCCAATAGGGAGCCGTCACTTGTCAATTCGGTAAAACATTAGGTAAAAAATTATGTACAAACAAAATTTTCATTTATTTTAATCAATCATCAATCTATAAAAGATTATGTAAAAAGTAATGTACAACAAACATTTTCTATTGTACTATTCGATCCTACTTCAATACACGCAGTACTGAACATAATCAAGTTCGGTTCTTTTCAATAAAACCTCCATGGAACACGACATAATTAAGAAGAATAGTAACTATATGCTAATCTGACAAATGAAAACTAAACAAAAGTCTGGTTCTTTTCACAATCAATAGCAGATTTCTGATTATATGAGGGAGGGAGGGAGGCACAAAGGGGCACAAGATCCAGATCACAAAATTGAATAGCTCCCATACAGAGCTCATCAACTCCGTTTACAACACTAAACATAAAATCTAGCAATCAGTAACCCAATAGAGAACACAAGGCAAGACAAACATAAAAGGTGCACTTCCACAAAAGTTTCAAATTCAACTTCACTCGTCACACAAATCAAATGCCATTTGCCCATCAGGTGATGGATGGTTCAAGACAAGTACTTTGGGAACACAATCATGCTTGGTGACAATCATGGATGACAAACTTACTGACAATATGCCACGTGCAAACTGTCGTTGGACAGTTTGAAAAACAACTTTTTTTGCAACCATCAGTTTTTTGACAACTCATACATTGTCAACCGCACTGTCATCCATGATTGTACAAATAGATTAATCC